AGTTGTCCTTCAGAATCGCGCAGTCGACCTTGGCAAGGGCAAAATCCTTTCCGAAGCTTCCGTATTTCACCCCAGTTGCCGTCGGCGGTGAGCTTTTCCAACCACACCGTGCGGTCCTTGGCGACGTGCTGGCGGATGGACTTCGCAAGGTTCTTTTCCGCAATACAATCCCCGCGCTGCCTGGCATCATTTCGCCGGGCAATGAGCTGCAGCGTGCTCCCCGAGATCCACGGCCGTCGGGCGGTCTTAGGTTTCTCAGGCAAGGAGTAGGCAGCTGCGCGTTCAAAAGCATCTACTAGTTGGCACCACGAGAGGTCGACATCGGAGCCGGCGTCCCCGCCCTCGTTAATGTCCTCAAGAGACTCGAAAGATGCTGTGCAAATCGTTGGCGTATGCCTTCCTCGCCGAGTTGCTCAACGTCCAACTTCGGATTCTTATGCGGCACGGCCGGCTTTGGCACTACCATTCTCGTTTGACCTGAAAGCAAGAAATGATGAGAAGACAACGGCGCCTCCCGGCACGATCGAAGAGAGCTAAGCATAGGAAGCCAATCTTGTTCGCACATGCAAAAATCTATCTGTGAATGCGTGTCCGGGGTCACGTCGCACCCCATCGGGCACCCGACGTTGTAGCTCGTGGCAAGCGACTCCTGGGTGCCAGGAAAGAACGTGTTAGCAATGCACATATTCAACCGGGCGCAGATTTCTACCAAGAGGTATCTGTTCGCATCGGCCTTCACGGTTTGACGCGGGTGCTTGAAGATATGCGGACCAACGATGTCCTGCTCGTCACCCAGTTGCTCGTGCAAGCGCGCGTTGAAGTCTCCAATCTCGATCTTGGGGCCGTGGGCCGAGGTCTTCGCGACAAAATCGCCAAGGTCTGTGAAAAAGTCTTGCCGCTCTTGGTATGGTTTGCCACTGTGTGGTGCGTATGCCGAAAATAATACAGCCTTTCCGCCAGAAATCCTGATCTTGATGGAAGCCATGCGGGACGACGCCTGGCAGAAGCCGACGACGGACTGCCTCACGCGAGGCGCGACGATGAAACCCACGCCATCTTTCTCTGTGGAGTTCTCCGGACCGCCCGATAGTATGACTAGGTACCCTGTGTCTGTCAGGAAAACATGTGATCTGGATGTCCACGTTTCTTGTATGCCCAATATAATGATACCCCTTTCCTGCATGATCAACTCTAGTTCTGCCTGTTTGGACTCCGTGTAGCCCTCGACGTTCCACGATGCAAATGTAAATTCGTTATGTGCCGGGCGCAAACAGCCGCCCCGCGCAGCCATCAAGGACAGCTTAGCTTCGCCATGCTGTGCACCGTCACGCTGGCTCTGTGCGCCAGGTGGACTGTCGGAAGGACGCCTGCAATCCCCTGGGCCACATGAAGGTGAAACAATCTTGCTCGCGCTCCGCCGGCACCCCTAGTGGCGACCTGAGCCACCACCTTTCCCTTTAAGTTTGCCTTTTACTTTCGCGCCTCCTTTAGCCGTGTCCTTGGAGGAATACTTCTGGATTTTCTCGGAGAGCTTTTTCACCATGTCTGGAAACTGCGGGAAGCCGTCTTGCAGCAACCATGCTTCCCACCCTTCGCCATAACCGACTTTCAAGATGCCCTTCACGATAGACACCTGGATCGCAATTTCGCCGCCAACCCAGACCGTGCCCTCGGCCGCATCTGCCCAGATGCTGTTGTTAGGGTACCCCCACTCCTTCATGATGTGCTTCGCCCCGAAAACAAAAGAATTGATGACACGCGTCGGCAGTTCCGTGTCAGGCTTGGCCCAAACTTTGTTCCCACCTTCCTTGAAGTGTGATTTACGGATCAACTGGATTGCCGAGTCCCGCCCGGTTTTGTCCGAGAATTTTGCGAAAACCAGGCCCTGGAACTCCCCTTTGATGTACACTTCCTCGGGTTGGGGGGCCCATGAGTCCCAGAGTTTCTTCGTCAACCAGGTCTTGGCTTCCTCCTCCCCCGCAAGGGCCTGCAGGCCCCCGATCACAGCGGTCACCTCCCTGTCCTGGCTCTTGTCTGTGTCCGGGGTGGTGCCCTTCAGCTGCTCGATCTCCACCTGCAGCGCCTTGATGTGGTCCCAGACGTCTGTGTTTACGCTGCGTGGGGATGACGCGGAACCGCCAGTGTGGTCATACATGCTCTCCAAGTTTGTGATGCGGGTGTCGATGCCCTCTATGCGGCTCTCGACCTCCCCGAACCTGCCGTCCACCTTGCTACTCATTTCCTGCAGCCGTTTGTCGAGGTTTTCGATGGTGGCGTTGATCGGCTGAACTTCCTGGCGGATGATTGCGGCGATTTGTTGTAAAGTTGGAGATAGATGAGGTTGTGGTGCTGCGTGAGCTTCTGCGGGAGTGGTAGGGGGCACCGGCGAAGAGATCTGATGGACCTCCGGCCGGGGAGGAGATCCGAGGTCATCCTGCCCATCCATCTCGTGGAGCAGGCTAAATAACCGTTGGCGGACATCGCGCTCGAGAACTCCTCGTACCGGTGTTCCTGGCGCTCGCGTGCCTGTTCCAGCCATCGCAAGATGTGTGAAGCGGGGAAAGAGAAGTGGCGTGGCGTGGTGAAGAAGGGGGCGTGGCAAAAAGGGGGGGGGGGTCCGGCGAAAAGGGAGACTTGAGACTTGAACCAGAAGTGCTCTTCTTGAGCCACAAACGTTCATAATCTGATCTCCCCTTCACATCCTGGAACACTTGGGAAACCCAAATTGACTGCGCCTGCTTGGGTCCTCGAAGCCGCGGTGGCGGTCGACGACGAACCGCTCCCCGCCGTGGTACAAGTAGTGGTCCTTGTCGGTTCCCACGGCGTTGATATCCACGATCCCGATCACGATTGTTGCACTCAGAATTGGCGAATTGGATCACAAGAGACTCCTTTGCCAACGGCTGTGCCTCCGACGGAAAGACCGCCACTGGTAACATACACAGTGTCCCCAAAGACTTCCGCACAAGATGATATCTCGGCCATCCACCATCTGGCGTATCTGGAGATATGATGGCCTCAATGTGTCCTCTAAGTCGTGCAGCCAGCCCTGGGGTGGCAACCGACTGCGCGGGATTTGCCTGGCGGACATACACTCCGGCTGCATTCCACAAGACATAGACAGACGATTATATAGGCGATGATGTTACCTCCACACAACTCTGACACCACGACAACCAATGCCCCCCAAGATTGCGGATGGCTAACTTCGCATAGTGTGGTAAGACACGGAATACGCTGGCCGCCCACCTGGGACATTTTGACTGTTGCAGAGCCTGTCGTAATCGAATCACGCCCATCGCCATGAAGATATGAGTAATACGGATCATCACGGTGGGCTCCGTGATGCCCTTCTTCTTGCCATTAGGGGAAATGCGTACCAACAAAAGATGTAGGAACAACTGTAGAACACGAAGACCACCTGGAGAGACCACGGATGGTGAGGACGAACTCAACGTAGTGTGAGCTGTATGCGCGTCTGCCCGCCTGAAGGCGAGGTAGCATATGAAACTAAAGAAAGTGAACGGGATGAACCGTGCGACACCGTTGCTGGAAGGCCGGCTTGCCGCACGTGTTGTGTGTTCTCCAAGGCGATGGATGGGATGCAGATCGGTCTGAGGCTGGCGGCAGGCGTAGGCCTTAGACCCCGATCTGTTTTCCTTGCACCACTGAGCCGCTCGGGGTTCGGTGTGACACCGAAGGACCGCCAGCGCTTCCTTGAGCGTCCATGCGAGAAGAGCGGGCTCCCCTGGGGCTCGACCTCGAGCCGCACGCGCCCACGGGCAGAAAGTGTGTGTGTGTGTGTGTGCGTGTGTGTGTGTGTGTGTTTCCGCTGTCTTACGTCTTGTCTGCTTAGCTCCCCTCCCCTGCAGCGTGTAGATTGCCTCGCCGGATTGTGTTTCTCAGGATAGTTTTCCGCCAGTGTTCAGGAGAACAATGAATCACGAATCACGATCCAGCGCCACCAATGCAAGGCAGGCGGTAGCCGTCAGTCGGCACGAATGTTCTTAGAAGAATCTGCATGCGATGAGAAACAAGACCGTTGTTTCTGCAATTTCAGACGCGACGAGCCCGGAGCTGCAAGCCGGCGACCCCATGTAAGTCACACTGGGGTTTAAAGGCCCCCCATCCCCGCTCGGTTGCCCTGTCTTGGACGAAATAGCAGCGGCCAGTCCACAGCAGGAAGAACGACAAGCAAGGAAGTGGAGAGATGGCTAAGGTGCAGCCTGTGATATGTAGTATATGGAACAACCCAATCAAGATTGCTATGACATGCATCGTAATCTGGACAGCTGCTAAGAACAATCCGAAAATCGAGCACTCGACTGTGACTTCGATTACATACGCATCAAAATCTACGAGGGTGGGGCGGCTTGTAGCTGTATGTGCAGCTACTAGCTGTGTGTGTGTGTGTGTCTCTCTCTCTCTCTCTCTCTCTCTCTTGTTTCCCTTTCTGTCTCTTTTGTTGGCTTTTCTCTCTCTCTCTCCCTCTCTCTCTCTTGGTTTTTTCACGACGCCAGGGGGGTGGGGGGGAGGGGGCGGGGCAGGGACTGGGGGCGTCCCAAGAGGGATGAGGACTGGGGGGGGAGCACAGGCTGGGGCCCTGAGATCTGGAAGCATCATGGCCCCCTCGTCTTCTTTCGACACGTTCAACAAGTCCCTTGGCCCCCCCTCGTCCGCGCACGTGCCTGAGCCGCTCGTCTTCCTGGCCGCTCGTCTCGGCGCACCCAGGGAAAAAAGTCGGTGAAAGTGTGAAGGGGCAACATCAGGCGATTGCAAACATGGATCAAGGGGGCGTAGATTAGCGACGGGTCCCCCTTCCATGGGAAATCACGGATTTCCGCCGCCGAACGAGGCGGCATTGGCCGCATTTTGGGGAGGGCACCTCCCCCGGTCCATGGATTGGCGACCGGGCGCCAAATCCATACATCGCTAATCCATGTTTGCGCGCCCCCGACAACAGGGGGCTGCCCTGGGGCGCCAGCGCTTGGGGGGTGCAGGTGAACCTGGAGCTGCACAAGCGAACCTCGCCGCCGATCTCGCCGCAAGACCCCGGAAGGGGGGGGGAAGTCGGCCCAGAATCGGAGAAGCGCAAGACTCCAGCCTGCCCGGCTTCGGGCTTGCCGCCGCTCTTTGGCGATTTTGGCTTGGGCTTTGGCGGCCCGTTTGTCGCGAGATGTTTGGAACGGGAGTCCGCGTCGAGTTGCAAACTACGCCAAGCCATTTTCCTGACGGCCCCACCTGTATTGGAAGAAGATGAGGTTTCAGAGCGTTTTGGAGGGCTTTCATGGGTTGCTGGAACGCTTTAGAATCACCATGACGGACAGGGATCCTGAGGGAAACACGTCCTAAGCCTTGGTGCTTTCCCCAGGACCAGTTATTCATCCCGAAGCGTTGTTTACGGTCTCGGAGCTCGGGGAGGACCCCAGTTGCCCGAAATTTGCGAGCAGCATCCATGACCCCTCTTCCGTCCGCCAGGACCCACCCTCCATGTGAAGATGCAACCATCGGACCCGCTAGCTCTCAGGGATTCGCGGTAGACCTCATCTCGATGTCGTGCTGTGCTTGCTCTCTTCCTCGTCTGGGCCGGCAGCGGCGGGGCGCCAGGCCCCTCCCCGGGGGCGACGACAGGGGGGGAGGACAAGATCAGTGGGGAACGCATCGGCCCCCAAATGCGCATTCATCGCCGATGGGAGCCTCATGGTCCAACCCGTCCAGGAACTTGTGGTCTCGCTTTCGGGGGCCTATGCCCCCCCCCCACACACACACACACACACACACACACACACACCCTACAGCTGCCCCCCCCCCCTCACAGCGCCCTCAGCTGCCCCCCCCCCCCTCTACAGCGGAAATCAATGCCAAGAAACACCCTGTTTGCCTCCAGGGTGCTTTGCGTTTCTTGGGCTTCGATCGATGGTTTTGCTATGGAAAGCGTGACGCTCCCACACCCTGGGATTTCAGGGTTGGGTTTCTTGTGGAAGGTTTCTTGATGTAAAGCTCCTGCTGTATCGTTTCCCCATCATCATCCTCCTGCCGCTCTCCCACTCAACGCCGACAGCTCGGAAAGCCGACACCCATGGGAGAAAGTTTACCTATCCTTTCCCTCGGTCTCGCCTCTTTGTGGACTCTCGGGGGGGGGGGCCTCGTGGCCACGGCCAGATCTTCGCCTCGGCATCTCGCCCAGAACGCACCCCAAGAGAGAGGTGCTGGCGGTGATCGCCAGGATGTGCTCGTTACCCGAAATATCCGCACAGTGGAAGCCCAGGAAACACCCTGCTTGCCTCCAGGGTGCCCTGGGTTTCCTGGGTTTCGATGGTTTTGCTATGGAAAGCGTGACGCCCCCACACCAAGAAACAATTATCCTGGCGAAGGTCCCAACCATACGCAGTTGTGGGTACCGTAATTGTGAATATCTTCTTCGGTGAAGCTCCCTATGGGGCCACGAAGCGCTGCACTGGGCGGGGGGGAACGCTGTGCTGTGTGGGTGATGTGCCGAATTTCGTTTCCGGGACGCATGCGGACGGTCCCACTGGGGGCTTCGGTGGAGCCCCTTATGGGGCCACGAAACGTTGCACTCCGCGGGTGAAAATGCCAAATTACATTTCCCGGACGCATACGGACGGTGGCACTAGCGCCTTGGGTGGAGCCCCCTTATGGGGTCACGAAACGCTGCACTAGGTGGGTGAAAATGCCAAATTGGGCTTCCAGGACGCATGCGGACGGGGGCACTGGGCCTTCGGTGGAGCTCCCTATGGGGCCACGAAATGCTGTATTGGGCGTGCGGGACGCATGCGGACGGTAGCACTGGGACCTTCGGTGGGGCTCCCTATCGGGCCACGAAACGCTGTACTGGGTGGGTGCAACGCAGGGAGGAGGGGGAGGAGGGCCACGAAACGCTGTACTGCGTGTGCGGGACGCATGCGGACGGTAGCACTGGGACCTTCGGTGGAGCTCCCTATGGGGCCACGAAATGCTGTATTGGGCGTGCGGGACGCATGCGGACGGTAGCGCTGGGATCTTCGGTGGGGCTCCCTTTGGGTCCACGAAACGCTGCACTGGGCGTGCGGGACGCATGCGGACGGTAGCAGTGGGACCTTCGGTGGGGCTCCCTATGGAGCCACGAAACGCTGTATTGGGTGGGTGAAACGCAGGGAGGATGGGGAGGAGGGCCACGGAACGCTGTACTGGGTGTGCGGGACGCATGCGGACGGTAGCATTGGGACCTTCGGTGGAGCTCCCTATGGGCACACGAAACGCTGTACTGGGTGTGCGGGACGCATGCGGACGGTAGCATTGGGACCTTCGGTGGGGCTCCCTGTGAGGCCACGAAACGCTGTACTGGGTGTGCGGGACGCAAGCGGACGGTAGCACTGGGACCTTCGGTGGGGCTCCCTATGGGGCCACGAAGCGCTGTATTGGGTGGGTGAAACGAGGGGGAGGAGGACCACGAAACGCTGTATTGCTTGCGCGGGTCGCATGCGGACGGTAGCACTAGAACCTTCGGTGGGGCTCTCTTTGGGGCCACGAAACGCTGTACTGGGTGTGCGGGACGCATGCGGACGGTAGCACTGGGACCTTCGGTGGGGCTCCCTATGGGGCCACGAAGCGCTGTATTGTGTGGATGAAACGCAGGGAGGAGGGGGAGGAGGGCCACGAAACGCTGTACTGCGTGTGCGGGACGCATGCGGACGGTAGCACTGGGACCTTCGGTGGAGCTCCTGATGGGGCCACGAAATGCTGTATTGGGCGTGCGGGACGCATGCGGACGGTAGCGCTGGGATCTTTGGTGGGGCTCCCTTTGGGTCCACGAAGCGCTATACTGGTTAGCACTGGGACCTTCGGTGGGGCTCCCTATGGGGCCACGGAACGCTGTATTGGGTGGGTAAACGCAGGGAGGAAGGGGGAGGAGGGCCACGGAACGCTGTACTGGGTGTGCGGGACGCATGCGGACGGTAGCATTGGGACCTTCGGTGGAGCTCCCTATGGGCACACGAAACGCTGTACTGGGTGTGCGGGACGCATGCGGACGGTAGCATTGGGACCTTCGGTGGGGCTCCCTGTGGGCCACGAAACGCTGTACTGGGTGTGCGGGACTCAAGCGGACGGTAGCACTGGGACTTTCGGTGGGGCTCCCTATGGGGCCACGAAACGCTGTATTGGGTGGGTGAAACGCAGGGAGGAGGGGGAGGAGGGCCACGAAACGCTGTACTGGGTGTGCAGGACGCATGCAGACGGTAGCACTGGAACCTTCGGTGGGGCTCCCTTTGGGGCCACGAAGCTTTGCACTTGGTGTGCGGGACGCATGCGGACGGTAGCACTGGGACCGTCGGTGGGGCTCCCTGTGGGGCCACGAAACGCTGTACTGGGTGGGTGAAACGCAGGGAGGAGGGGGAGGAGGGCCACGAAACGCTGTACTGCGTGTGCGGGACGCATGCGGACGGTAGCACTGGAACCTTCGGTGGGGCCTACTTTGGGGCCACGAAACGCTGTACTGTGTGTGTGCGGGACGCATGCGGACGGTAGCACTGGGACCTTCGGTGGGGCTCCCTATGGGGCCACGAAACGTTGCACTGGGTGGGTGAAACGCAGGGAGAAGGGGTTTGGGTCCACGAAGCGCTGTACTGAATGTGCGGGACGCATGCGGACGGTAGGAAGGAGGGGGAGGAGGAGGAGAGGAGGAGAACGCGGGGCGACGTCTTTTCAAAACGAGGACCCAACACCACAGGATGGTTGGGAGTGAACGCCCTGGGGTCTCCGGCCTGGGTTTCTCGTCGAGAATTTTTTGTGGTCAAGCTTTTGACGTATGTTGCCATGCGCTGTTGGGCACCGCGGGCAGCCGAGATGGCGGAAGAGAGCGCGCGCGCCGGGGGCCCACCGAGCATCGACTCCATGGAAGTGCGCTGGAGAGGGACGCAGTCACGGAAGTGTGATTGCCCGATGCCGCGAGGCTTGTATTGTAGAGTCGCCCAGATGGGAAGCAAGGGCGCCATTGGCAGGAGGGCCCCGAGCTTGGGGGTCGTCGGCTCTTCTCCGCGTCTTCCTTCCAGACTGCTGATGTGAGTCGATTTCAGGGGAATGCAGATTTGGGGATGCCGAGATCATCGATAATTGCGAAAGGAGCGGGGGAGTGATAATTCATTTGCGATTACCATTTGGAGTCAAACCTCAAAGCCAAACCCCATCTGGCTTTCAGTTTTTTGGCCCCTCAGAAAGGGAAGGTTGGGACAGAGGTAGAGTGAGAGTGCTCAGCTTGTTCCGCACATCTGTACATAATAAGGAAGCCATCTCCGAATTTGTTATGCTCCGCTCTCAAGGCCTACCCACTACCCCTCGACATACAAAGCAGTGTCCACTGTGTGATCGTTGTGCCTTCAGCGGACTACATGGGTGTTCTGGTCTTCCCTTCGGCTCCGATTTCCCGTGGTGCTGTGATCAATTAATGTCCTGACGCGCGCACGAGTTCTCTCATACGTGACACGTCTGGTTTTGTTCATCCTTATTTGATTCGTGCACTCCCGCTTCGGGTTCTGAAGATTTCTGGTCTTGCCTGGCTGTGTTCTGTCTCACGTCACTGTGGCAATCATGCAGCGTGTTTGTGTGTATGTGTGTGCGTGCGTACATGTGTGCGTGCGTGCGTGCGTATGTGTGGTGAGTGTGGTTTGCGTGCGATTGTGTGTGTTGTGTGTTGCTGCTGGAAAATCACGGGGTCCCAGGCCAACAAGGGCAGCGCGGCTTCCTCATCCGCAAGTCTTGTCTGCACCCTCGCTGGAAGGGCCACTCCGAATATGCCAGGCGTGCCCTCCGCTACACCGCTGGACGCGCGCGCGAGACCCTTTGCGCGCCCAGACGGAAGAAGAGGAGGAGGAGGAAGAGCAGGAGGAAGCGGATGAGGAGGAGGAGGAGGAGAAGGACGAATTCTTCGCATCCCGCCGGAACTGCTTCTGCCTATGCTACCGCCCTTGTCGCCCATTCCCATTCTCACCTCACTGCCAGATTTGAGCGTGGATGCGCCGTAGTCGCGCTTGCACTATGAAACGCTAGGGCGGGCTGAAGTCAAAACGAAATCGAAAAGGAGCAACGCGGTGGCGTGATTCTTGGGTTGCCTATTGTTTGTCGCTGGGAGCAGGCACCAGTAGCTGAGCTTTGAGCTCAAAGACACAAAGGCAGAAGGAAGGCATGTGATAGACGCTCGTATTCAAAAGTAGCGGTCGCTTTCGTAAGCAGTTCCTCGAGAGAATCTCAGCCCCGTTAAATCCAATCGCAGAGCCTGAGTTTCAGGATAAGTTGCCGCGCGTTTGCCATGCACGCTTGCGCACGGCTCAGGGACACTGCAAAGACTACACATTGTGACCTTGACATGCGATGAGGCGCGGGCGCTGACAATAGCATGTGAAGGGTGAGGAACACTGGCATGGGAAGAGCAGTGGTATGGGAGTTCTGATGCTCGGGTCCACAGGTGTAGCTTCTGGGCGGGTTCAGGTCACAGTACATTCGACGGGCCACCAACATTGAGTCCAAATCTTTGTTTTCGACCAAACAGCGAAAAGACTCGTGATCTGACCAATGGGTTGCCCGATGCTGCACATGCACCACGCGGCGCGGAGGACGTTCGAGCGTGTTTCTCCGTCTCTCTCTCCCTCTCTGTCTCTCGCAGCGGGGAGCCCCCGACCGCGATGCAGGCCACAGAGGCCTTCTCCAGGCCCCATCCGCCTTCTCACTCTTCTCCCTTTCCCTTTCCTCCCTGTTTTCCTCCTCGCCCTCCCCTTCGCTTCACTCAAATAAGATGCTCAGCCGCCGTTTGGCCTTAACGCTGGCGCGTGTTCGCTCTCTCTCTCTCTCTCTCTCTCTTTCTTTATGTTTGTCTCTCTCTCTCTCTTTCTCTCTCTCTCTCTCTTGTTGGTTTCTCTCTCTCTCTCTCGCTCTCTCTCTCTCTCTCTCTCTCTCTCTCTCTCTCTCTCTCTCTCTCTCTCTCTCTCTATATAATATATATATATATATATGTCTCTCTCTCTCTCTCTCTTTCTGTCTCTCTCTCTCTCTCTCTCTCTCTCTCTCTCTCTCTCTCTATCTCTCTCTTTATCTATCTCTCTCTTTCTCTATAGATATATGTGCATATATGTATATATATATATATATATGTAAATGTAGAAGTGACAAACCCCGTTGTCAACATCTTATTGCCGCAACGCTTTCTTTCGTCAAGCTTCCAACCCCCGCACTTCAAGTCGACAGCGGAGCTGGGAGCGATCTGGGCCCGCGACCCACGGAACGTTCGCAGACTGCGAGGTAAACGCACACTCGCATTTTCTTATCACCTCCGCATTGGTACTATACTCCAACTCTTGAGCAGTTTGTGCTTATGGTTGTTTTGCACGTCTTCGGACAAGTCCCCAAACGCTCACAGACAAATCACATATTTCGAGTCGTTTGGAGGAACCGGCTGCGAAGGCATTAGCAGCTGCAGTTCACAACGCTATGCGGAGCACACGCCCACGGGAGCGCCACGACGTCTCCCACGACCCATCGCACCCCACAGGTACTGGCCGCAGCTTTGGGTCGGGCATGACGGCGAGGCTCTTCCCTCGGCTAGTACCGTGCCTCGTGATGTGCGCGACAATGCAAGCCGTCCTTGCGAGCACGTCCCACCAGTCGAGTGGAGCATTGGACGTTAACGCACCAGTCTCGCAACTTTTGGTTTCGACCAAGATTGTCCATTTTTGTTACGGCTGCCCCCAACTTCGACATGGCGTTCGTCCTTGCGCAGGCCCGAGCCCCAAGGCGCCTCCACATTTTTCATCGTGGTTTTGACGCTATGGGACAGCATCCTCATATTTTGTCATGGCCGCCCTTCTGCGGCTCACCTGCATGATGCCTGCTGGAGCCAGCCCACACGGTGGCGGTGGCGGTCGTGGTGGGATCACTTCATGCCAGCTGCCCTCATGGTCACCCGAGCGCGATTCTGCGTATCCATTCCGTCGCTAGGTACAGGACTTGCTCGCTTGGAGCACGCTCGCCACGGACATGGGCAGCGCCCGACAATGCGCTGCCGTCGTCCTCGACTTCGGCGGGGCCGCTCACAATCAAGACGCACCTTCTGCGCGCCACTGGCACACTCAGGGCTCGACCCTGGGCACCCAGCTCCGCTGAGCTCCCCGGCGCCCGAAGCTTTGCAGCGCACGCCACCGGCCCGTCGCAGAGCGCCGCGCCGCCACAGGCCGCCTATCCAGCCGCCGCGCTGGCGCCCGCGGGCGGGGCCGATTACGTCAGTGGAAACTTCTCAACAGCCAGCTCGGATCCAGGCGGAGAGGTCCAGTACCATGCAGATAGAAGATGTTCGCTTGTTTTGGCAGTCAGCGAAACCTCAGAGGCGCAGGCGCGCGCGACGTCCTGCGCGCAAGGTGCGCAGATCCATCGAGGAGAACTGCGCCGTCGCCAGAAAGGACGGAGGCGCATGCAAAGGTGCCCAGAAGGATGCATTTCTCTCGGCGCCTGCAGACACACTAATAGATCAGGTTGCCCTCGCGGTGAAAAATAAACAGCAAATGCAGGCGCTCGTTAGGTCAGGGGGGGGCGGCAGGCGCCGCAATCCCCAGGGATATGACTGGACCACCATGACGCGTAGCATTTGCGGAAGCGAACCCGCTTCCGCGCTGAGTGCCCTCCCAGGCAGGCACCGCGTCGCCACTGCAGGGCAGCGGCAGCGGTGGTCACTTCGGAAGGCACGCGGGCTCAGGACCCATAGATGGCCCCCTGGACCAAGGCCCCCTTGGCCGGCATCTCAGGAGTTGCCCGCGCCGTCGCCAGGGGCCCTCCTCAGCCGTTGCCCGGAGCCAGCGACGGAGCGGCGCTCCGTCGACGGCTTCCGGCAGCAACCTGGATCTGCCCACGGCTCGCAGCCAGCTACCTCGCCCGTCGCGGCCCAGAGCCGCGCGAGCGCAGGCGCGCGAGCCGCCCTGCCTCCGATAATTATTCAACGCGGCAACGCCGACTTCAAGGACCGCAGCCAATGCCAGCGCTGCAGCTGCTCCCTGGCCCGGCCGCCGCCGACGCGGAGCGAGCGGCAGCTGCCCTCGGAGCTCGCCCTTCAGCCAGCGCGCCGCCGTGGACTGCAGCTCTGCGGGGCCCCCGCAAGATGAGCGACATTGACCGGCAGCGCAAGGCGGGGGCCGCGCCCCGACCGCGGGCCAACTCGCGGCCCCCGACGACCAGCGAAACATTACCCCACAGATCAACGATTTGGGTCAACTCACACGCCTCCAGCAAGGCCAGCCAACACCATCTGCCCTACCAGACAGGCACAGACGCCGCGGATATGAGCGCTTTGCTGAAGTGCCGACCGCAGCGATCAGGACCAACGCCACGCGCGACATGGCCCCCGAAATATCCACCCAGCTGTCTTCCATGGCCAGATCGGAGACCGAACGCGACGCTCAGATGGAACATCGACGTGCCCGCCGACGTGAGCCCGCCCAACGGATGATCGACAAGGCGACGGCTGGTCCTCCAATCGCGGCGCCACCACCACTACCATCGGATCTACGCGCCGAGTCAGACATCGCAAGAGTGAACGTGGACACCGAGGAGATCTGCAGCATCTGATTGGATCTGAACGTCCACTCAGACATCGCAGTCGCCCCTTCAACGCGGGCGCCGCTCCCATCGGAGCTGCGCCGACGCCTGGGCCGCCACGAGCTACTACAATGCCCAGTTGCCAGGGCGCCCTTGCCCCAATGCCCGACAAGCAGGCGATGCCCAGCGGCGCGCGAGGTCGCGCGCATCCAGGTTACCACGGCACCCCGCGCAGCATCCGAAGAGCGCGCGACACCCGAGGTCGACGGGGCGCCGGTCGCGCCGCGAGGCGCACCAGCAGGGGATATCACAATCAGCTATCCTGCATCTAACTGGGGAGCCGTCGCCCCCAGGCTCGCCGCAAGGCGATGCAGCAGGCGCGCTTCCTTTTGTTGCCCGCCACCGGGCGGCGAGCGCGCCGCTCAGGCATGTCACAGTCGCGCCCAGGCCCCCTTTGGCCAACCCAGCGCCATCGTGGACCCTGCTTCGTGGACGAACCTCAGAGGAGAGACGCTTGCGCGGCAGCTGCGCCGCCGAGTCGTAGAGGCAGCGCACCGGCCGCAGCGGCTCCGCATGAGCATGCCCTTGGGCGTCCAACGCGTTGGCAGCGGGACTCGAGAGTGCACCCATCAGGCGAGCGCCCCCGCTGCCGTCGCGGATGATCAGGGCCGCGCAATCATCCGCAGCTTCACAGCACCCATTGTCAGAGGATCTGCAGCAACCTGCCTGGCCTACTCGGACTACGCAGCATAGGCCGCGCGCGGGATCTTGGACACGGGCCAACGCGAGCTGATCCTACCAGGCGGAGGCGACGCCCAGATCCAATGGCCAGTAGGCACCGTCCGCCTCCCGCTGCAGGGCTCCGAGCGAGCACCTGGCGATGGCCATCGACGACTTAGAGGGCGGCGCACGCGCTGGGCGTCGCGAGCGACCGCGGCGAGCAATTGCGCCCCCACACCGACGAGACGGAGACGGAGACAGAGGACGCGACGCCGGTTGGTGCCGCCGCCTGCCAGGAGGCCGAGCAGCGGTCGACCCCCGGCCCTCAATAAGTTGATGCCCCCGGGGGGGCGCCTTTGCTCTCCTCGCCGGAGAACCAAGGTCGCGCCCCGACCGCGCTCCAGCGAAGGAACTCGCATCCTCGTTTGATCGAGCTCTTGAGCAGCGCGGATGGCAGACGCAAGCGTCCCATTCAAGGTCAATTGTCTTTCCACGTGTCTCCC